CGCTGGGGAATCCCCGGCGCCGGCGCGCGGGGAAGTCCCCGGACGCGCGGGCTACAAGAGGGCGGCGCGGCGCGAGCGTGCCCCAGGCCGGCAGCCCCCAGGCGGCGGCGCAGCGCTCCAGCCATGTCGCACGGCCTCCGGCTGCTGCTCCTGAGCTGCGGTAAGGCCCGAGAGCGCCTGTCGGCCCCTCGCCGCGCCGCGGCACCCGCTTTGGCTGCTTGCTCACGGCGCGCGCCCTCTCTTTCTTGTAGCCTACAGCCTGGCGCCCGCCACGCGGGAGGTGAAGGTGGCTTGCTCGGACGATGTGGACTTGCCCTGCACCGCCCCCTGGGACCCAGAGGTCCTCTACACGGTCTCCTGGGCCAAGGTAAGCGCCGCAGTGCCCCCGGACCGCGGTTCGGTTGGCTCGTTTGGAGGCAGCGGGCGCCACCTCCCTTCAGGCCGGCGACCCTCTGTGGCTGCGAGGGGAGGGGCGGCTCCCGCAGCCGAACTTGGAGTGCCCGGTCTTCCGACACGCCTCCCCCACCCCAGCTTCAACCCCAAGCGCCCCCAGGTACAAGGCCGACTTCGATTTTGTTCCCCGAAGACTCCAGTCCTCTCCCTGCCCCCAAAGGTGGCCGGAGATGAATGATCCAAGTAAGATGTCTTGGAAGGGCAGACTCGTTTGGATTAATTCTGGAGGCCACCTGTGGTTGTGGCCTGCAGGTCAGGAAGAAAACAAGACCCAGAGTCGGGCATTGGACAGGGGGTATGATTCCAGGTTTCTGATTTTTTTTTTTATGACTGTGATGCCCACAAAGGGAGGGGGCAGGGACAGTTTGAGAGGAAGGACTGAGAGAAGTGATTCAGGCTGTTTCACTGGTAGTAGTTACCCGTGGTCATCCCCTTTCTGGGATACTCTTGGCCTCCTCTCTAGCTGGGCTTCTCCTTCTTCTGGCAGCCATGAGCAGTACAGTGGTGAGGTCACCCAGGAGGGTGCATGAACCAGAGCCACGTGTGCAACCGGCCTTGCTATCCTACTGTGAAGGGACCGAGTTGTAAGGTTCTTAAGGTTTCCTCTCCACTGGAACATTCTCAGATTCTAAGACTGCAATTCTGGTTTCAACCCAAAGCCAAGCAGCCACCGTTTGATACCACTGGTCCTTTGCTCCCCTTTTGAAGTCAGGTTACTGCTACAACAGCACCTCCATTTTAAGCCAAATGAATAGGATATCCCAAGCCTCACTCTGTAGCTCTCACTGATTTGCTGCCTTACCTTGGAGGAAATCACTTTGCTTTTATAGCTTCCCACACAATGCAGGGTTTTCTTCTGCCTACCATAAAATACACCATAGGAATCTGTACTTACATGTATCTGACCGCTTAACAGTTCAAGGCAGCACTGGAGTTATCTCCATGTGTGTGTGTGTGTGTGTGTGTGTGTGTGTGTGTGTGTGTGTGAGAGAGAGAGAGAGAGAGAGAGAGAGAGCGCGAGAGCACATCTCCTCGCCTCCTGGATCGTCAGTTCTTTGGGGACAGTGACTGTACTAATGCTTTTATGCATTCTGCCTGGCACCCAGTGTTTGCCCTGTTAATTGCAAAGGTGCTCCATGAATTCAGGTTGGCAATTTCTGAGTTATGCACAGTAGAGATACTGTTACTGCCTTAGGGCACTGTATTATGTATGAACATAGTGTGTTAGTATTCCTGCTTCATTTCTACCTTGTTCACTGTGGGATCAGAGAACACAGCAATTCCACAGTTGTCCTCATACTCAAACATCAGTTTAAAAAAATTGTTAAAAAATTATTATTTGAGTGCTCACCATATGCCAAGCTCCAAGGCAAACATCTACATACATTATCTCTTTCCATCCTTTTAACGAACTTAAGCAATCAGTACTGTTACTGTTGCTACTTTACAGGTGAGGAAACTGAGCCTTAGGAAGGGAATAGCCTGCTCACTGTTATGCAACTGGCTAAATGGTGGAGTTGAGATTTGAAGCCAGCTGCTGGATTCCAGATCCGAAACTGTTAGAAGTCTATCTTGACATCTCTGTTTTCTACCTTAATTACTTAAGGTAAATAAAATAACAGTGCCGCTGGGCTAGCCAGGCAGGGACTTAGTTATCTCAAAGAAGGGGGAAAACCTGAAACCACTATCCCTTCTGGAGAGTAATTAAAAAAAAGAAAACATTATTAATATCCCCAGGGGAGTAATTAAAAAGTACTCATGAAACGAGTAGATGAAATTTCAGACTGTAAAGTTCAAACAGTTGTCTAGTTAAATCTTCTTGCACAGGGTCATTTGGAATGGTTCAGCAAACCACAGCAATTAACCTTTGACTTCTCCTTGGATGTCAGCTGGTGATGTAACTCTATAATGTATGTGCTTGTTTATTGGACACAGTTCTTGCCAGATTCACCCTGAAGTTCTCTCAAAACTGTCAAAAAAAATAGCAGTCTCTAGGCATCCTGTTTTTTTCTGTTGGTCCATGGAAGAAAACCACTGAAAAGTCATACCATGGTTATTTTTTTTTAAGAAGTAAACTGGGGTTGAGATGAGTGGAAAGGAGTCTTGTGCTGTGCCAATAAACTCATCAGGTACCTGGAAAGTGATATGTATTGTTCTTCAGGTGTTTTTAAAAAATAGTTATCAGCATATTCTGTAGATATTTGTCATTTTCCAGCCCAGTAATTATACTTTTGCATTGATTGAGCTTGTACAACAAAAATGAATAGAGTGTGTGGAAATAGGTCAACGATGAAATTCTGAAATATTTTGTTCTACCAAAAATTTAGCATTTTATCATGTTCCCACAACTCTCCTGTAAAATGCTTTCTGGACGTGGAGAAGTAGCTATAAAGGGAGGAATTCAACCCTGGTAACCACGGCCAGTGTAGCCCGCCTCACTGATTGCGAAGCCTGTTCGCTGTGCATGGGAGTGGGCTACATGCTGGGCAGGGAAAGCAGAGTCCCCGGGCGTGGGTTTTTGCCATCCTCCAGATTGAATCACATTCTTACAGGCCTTCTGCACATCACAATTATGGTTATAGTGACTCACAATTTAAAGTTCCATTTACCACTCAGTCCTCTGGCACCAAAGAGCATCCTGCCTCTGTCCAATTGGCAGTGACTACTTGTGATTAGCAAAAGGACCTGTGTAAACCATGTGTTCTTTATTATATGCCTTCGACCAAAAAATTCAAAGCAGACGGCATCCAATTAGTGTTTGTAACACTAGGATGAGTTGGGAAGGAACAGTGTTCATCTGATTCTGTTTTAAAGATGCAGTGAGGGGGCCTGAAGGAGCTGACTGGAGACCTGGCAAAGAAGATCAAAGGTGAAGTCAAAAGTGGACAGAGATAACCCGATTCCCATTAACCCAGTTCTTCTCTCCTGTGGACCAGTGCCCTCCTAATGGGGTTCCAACAAAGGGTCCTCCTCCTATCTCTTCCTCTCTTATACTTTTTAAGGCAGAATGGGCGATTGAGAAGAAACAGAAAGGGTAATAAATTATATCCACTAAGAGAGTGGCTCTGTTTAGCTTCTAGAGTTGCAATAAATTGTGGTTTTGGGGGAGCGTATTTTGAGAAAATATGCAAATAGACTTTAACCCACGACTCTTCTTCTGTTGACCAAGACCTGTGGTTAAATTGTAACATAATAGGAGGTAGCACAATATCGTGTCTTCCAGGAGTAAGACGTGCAGTACAGGGCTATGTCTGTGCTTCCTAATGCTCACTGTGTTCACATTCTCTTTGATGAAGATCTGGAGAGGGAGGATGGCTCTGGGTGGAGTGCTTTTGGCGTGGTTGATGTTTGCAACTAAAAATGAATGGTTGTTTATCTGGGAGATGTGGTATCATCTTGTATCATGCTGAGAGCCCTGACGATCTACAGTGATGCAAAATGAAAGAGGATATACAGTGTCATCTCTTCTCTGGGTGATGTTGCAGGGCTGAGGACAGTGAAGTGTCACAAGACAAGTGCCCTTTTAAGATGATTTCCAGAGGAAGAGAGAAAGAGGAAGTAAGGTGGTGATTTTAGATAGTTGATCAGACTTGAACTTTATAATATTTAGAAAGACCCAGCTGAGGCAGATCATGGGCCATTCCGTGGAGTGTTATACTTCTGACATAAATGTTAAGAAACTGTTGGAGGGCAGGTTAATGGCTTGCATGAGGCTACTTCAGAAGTTTAAGAACAGTTATCACACATCTGTCCACACACTTGTCCTTAACTCATTATGAAGCTGTCTTCATAGGTTGCTAAATTCCTATTTCTACCATGTTGTGTGATAATGAACTACAAATGGAGGGGCACTGGAGAGAGGCGGGGAGCACCTTGGTTTCTTTCCTTATTTTTTTTCCTTGAGTTAGAGTCTTACTTTCACCCAGGCTGGAGTTCAGTGGTACAATTACAGCTCACCACAGCCTCGACCTCCTGGGCTCAGGCAATCCTTCTGCCTCAGCTTCTTGAGTAACTGAGACTACAGGTGTGCGCCACTCCACCTGGCTAATTTTTTGTCTTTTTGTTTTGTAGAGATGAGGGCTGGAGATGATGAATAGTCTAGGTAAATGTAATCTGTCCAGCCACACACCCTCTTGGACCCACAGAGGAGCTCATGATTATACATCCTTGATTCTAGATGCCATCTGTTGCAAGGTGGATTTAAGAACATGTTTTTTAGGACAAGAGGGAAACACTTTCACATTAGATATAAAAGTATTAAAATGTGAAAACAATGTGTGTGTTATACTCAAAGAAAACACATACTGTCCCTATCAGCACCTATACTATTTGGCCTGGTTGAAGCACTTTTAGGGACTCCTCCTTAGGTCAAACTGTGAAGAGCGTAAAGTTGGTTTTCAGATGTCTCTCATATTTACACTTTTATTATTTAGTAAGTCTTTCTAAGTCCCAAATGTGTGCCAAATTCTGGACCTGGCATTGGCCATCTCAAAATCACCGTGGAACTTTTTCCAGAGGATAATCTTGAGCAAAGGCATAGGAACTGGAATCTACAAAGCCTTTTTGGGGATCAGTGGAGTAACTAGTGATCTAGCAGGGAGAGTTATACAGGAGATGGCTGAAAGATAATATTAGAAAGTAGGCTGAGGACAGATTCTGAAAGACCTTGCATATCAAACTTATGATGGCTTGAAATTTATCCTTTCAGCAGTAAGGAGCAATTGAAGGATTCTAAGCAAAGAGAAAATGTGTCTAAAGAAAAGCATATTTCTCACGGTGATGGCTAGAATATGATTCCTCCTAGAAAACAAATCTCAGAGGGAGGCTTCAGTCTTTCACTGCAGTCAAATTTCCATCAAGTTAACTCAACTGAGGTTTGAAGACTTTCTTGGGACGTTCCTTATTTTCCCTCTT